CTATTTTCCATCTCTACTTCTTCACAAGACGAAAGCTCTCCACACCCACAGATACCAGTCTACTGACTCATCTACAATTTTTTTCAAAAAAAATTAAAAAATAAAAAAATAGAAAGAGAATGAGAGTAATTAATTCTGGACTTCACTCTCACAGTCCTTAGCTTTATTTTCCAGACCCAAGATTTCAAGTGTAGGTCTCTCATAAGAGATAAGGCACATACTCTTTAGAGTCTTCAGAGTTAATGTTCCAAGACTCATTTTATTCATCTTCACTCCTTTCTCATCCAATTCAGGAGCACTGCCAACAGAATCTATTTAGCACAGTGAAACAGAGATGTTAGTTTTGCTTTTCACAAATGGGCTCTCAAGGGCAGACTTTTTGTTGATAAAAACAAAACAGAACCGGGAGTCAACACGCAGGTGCTCAGATGCAGCCAAAAAGATGATTCATTCAGTTTGTCTTCAAGGCCACACACACAGACATAATTCTCTGACATACATTAGTTAACAGTAAAATACAAAAATTAGCTACTCATGAATATACACAAGTAATTGAAAGCACAAAATTAAAAAAGGACTTTTTTGGCTATAAGATAAAGAAGGAATTGTTGCTCATATCCAACACTTCTATTAAACAGGACTCGGGCAGACCAGACCAACGGGGTTTTCCAAAAACCAGCTACTTACAGATGCAAGTCCAATCTCATGGCTGCAGCACGTCAGAGGCACGGCACATTTTCAGAAACAAAATGGTTATGCTGAACCTGACCGCAGCTGTTGGCACAGATGCATCTCACCATTCAGTGCTAACACAGCCCTACCCAGCCACATCCTCCATTAACCAGATAACTGCTAGGAAAAAGCAAAAATAAACCAAACAAAACCCATCATCAACTCCCCTGTATAGCTCAGAAGTGCATCTTCCAGTAATTATTTGCAGAACAATATGATCATGGAAACTTGACTATTGAAAAATTAGTCAATTAAGTTCCCAAAAGGCCAGTCTAGCAAAGGCCAATCTCTTTTTTTAAATAAGAGATTGAAGAATAAACTAGTCTGGTGCAAAACTGATCTTAAACCAACCCCTACCTTGAAAGCACCATGAATATGACCTTCCATTCTATGAACACTCACACTGTAGAAATATGGGCGGACAAACAAGAAAGTCTGTTCGCAAAGGGGAAAGAAGAAATAAGAGATGGGCCGGCATCTGCTAAACCCTCCAGGAGAGGAAGCCTCAGAAACAGACCATTCTATTTCAAAAGGCTTATAGTCTTATCTATGTAAGCAGTGGAAAGCAGCTACAAACAAAATAACTGAGTATCAGTAGTAGCAAATAAACCAGATTTTGTTTATTTCACAGTTTATCACTCTCTTTTGGTTTGTTTCTCACATTTAGCTTAATTCTCATCTCAGCTTCACATTCAAAATACATCTTCACTAAACTATAGTTGCATGTCTATACATACCAGTGTACAACTACTTCACACTATTAACTTAATTCCTTAGCTGTTTGAAATTATCTTTCCTCTTTTTGCCTCACAAAAATATATTTGAAGTAATTCATGCTGCATCACCAATGAAAACTCTTTTTTTTTTTTTTGTCCTCCAGTAAAGTCTGCCTTGATGCTTACAATTATTCCCTGTAATTCCCAGATCAGTTTTGTGCAAAGCAAACTCGGCAGAGCCGGAAATCGTGACCTTACTCGAACACAAACTGCACACAGCAGCTGTGTTACTGGCAGAAGACACATAAGAGACCTCATGCACTCAGGGAGGTTTCCCTCCCTCCACTGCAACCCATTAAATACTGATCCAATTATTGCACAAAAAGCCTTTTTCTTAAATCCAGCTCTTTTCGTTTCTGTCTTGCTCTGGGTTAGAGGGAGGGGAAAGAGAAAAAAAAAAAAAAAAAAAAAAAAAAGGCGTTGCAAATGGAATGCTCCTGCTCCTCAAATATGGCATGAGAAAATACCATTTACACCCACAGCCGTCTCCATCTCGCTCCTTCCCTCTACATCAAGACCAAGGAAGAACAGAATCAGAATGCAGAATTTTTGAAGAGATTTAAGTCCAAGCTTTATTTTGTTGCAGTCCCAAGAACTAAAAGCATGTGCCAGGGAAGTGATCATGAATTTGCCTTGAGAACTGAGCAGGCAAGTAAAAGCCTGTGCCTTGCATAGGGTGGACAAGCACACGGGTGTCACATCTGTACCTTCGAACAGAACAGCTTCTTTTTCCTTCAGCAGTCAATAAAAACGGGATGGGAGGAGAGGAGAAAGCATAGTTATTTAGGCTCATGGCTGCTTGGAAAAGAAGCTGCAATATTGATGTGCAACTTCTCTCAACTCCCCCAATCCACAGACTAAATCATACCAATATAAAAGCTAACTTAAAGGCCTTATTAAAAATCTTGCATATTAAAACAAATGTACCAGTTCCACCTTCTCTTCGGCTTTTAGATATGCTCTAATAGAAGGCAAGAAAAGTGTGATTTCCTCTTATTCCTTTCCCACCTATTTCTCTTATCCAGTACACAAACCCAGCTGTGCTGAGAAGCATAGATATGATGAAAAGCTATTTCGATACTTTAAAACAAACAAGAAATGAAGAAAAAAAGAAGAAAAAAGCTTATTCAATGTCTTTGTCTTCAGATGCTGTGTGTTTCAGGCACATATTTTGTTATACATGTTTATATATAAGATTAAACATGTATAACATGAATAATGCATCAGTGACATTATATACAGCAGTTTATATATACAGTAGGAACAACGATGACAACATTCTTTTAGTGTCTGTCTCAATATTCATAACTGCACAAGCCTAACTACTATGCCAAATTCAAACAACATCTCAATGGACAAAAGACCCAGGAAAGCAAAAAGGTACTGACAAGTTACAGGAAAGAACAGTGAAAGAAGAGAGATGGGGATCTTCCCAAACATCATTTACTTTTATCTCAGGCTTTCAAAAGAATAAAGTCTGAGGTCTAAAGCAGACCTAGTCTGAAGATAAAAATCTTATGCTCTTGCGGCACAGGAATTAACTTTTAGATTTACAGACTGTATTTCAAGAATAACCAGAGACCTGGATCCTACCAACAGCAACACAAGTTGGCAGAATAAGACACCACCCTGGATGCCCCTGGTGGCACCATTCCCACCCGTCAGTCACGGGCTGTGTCCCCCTTCCCGAGGGGAGCCGATTCCGGCACCTCTGGCACCGGCTGCCTGTAAACAGTCGCTCGCACATCCTGTGGGTCAGGCTGCCCGCAGCAGCGCGGACACAATCACCGGATGGGCAGGATGGCTGGAGGGAAGCAGAGCACGGGAGCCGCGGCCAGTGGCCGTGGGGCGCTCGCTGCTCCTGCCTGTTCCTGCGGTTGTGCCTAGCGCACTGAAGACTTGGAGGGAAGGAGGGAGGCCCAATTTAAGCACTGCTACCATCGCATTGGTTCACAGGACAACTTTAAAGTCTCAAAGTACCTACTTGCTACCTGTGGGGATGAACCTGCCAGCCTAAACCTGCCTGTTAGATTAGGAGATATACCTCAAATGCCATTACATCATTAGCAAACAACGTCTTACCGCCTTACAGGTTAGCAGCCATTTTCACTGGAAAACAAATATACCATGAATTTTTATTACAGGATAATCCCATACGTATCCAATAGCCAAAGTGATGAATTTCCAACATCGCATGTGAAAAACAATCCTGAACACTACACACAGGGAACACTGAACACTACATACAGGGAATGCAATGCAGTGTAGGTAGTTATCTCTGAAATCCAAGGGGATCTGAATAGCCTCAAGGGAACAGTAGTGACATCCAGAAGAAACAGTTAAAATATCCACAGAAGCAGATTTGTGTCATTAAAATCGTTATTTTGGCTAAACACTGGGACTGTCAGGTCACCCCCTATTACCACAATGTCACAGTCTCCACACAACTCAAGAAACTGCCAGGACTTCTGTGCAGAGGACAAGGAGAGGCTGCAGTTCCCTACAGGAGGGCATTCTGCAAAGGTGAGCCTGAAGGTGGACACTTCAGCCTGCTTGTCATCATCCATCAGCTCACCAAGCACCTGTGATAAGAGCTGGCACCACAACCTCCAGGAGATAAAGCAGCCCAAGGTCAGCTCATGAAAGGCAGCATTTAGGGCATGACAGTGTGATCGAGGCTCCTGGGGCTGCTGGCACATCCCTGCAGCCGGGAAGCTCCGGGCAGCACCAAAGAGCTGATTCACAGTGTAGGATCAGGACAATAAACTTTGTTCATCTACAGCCTGAAGGGCTGACAAGTGCACAAAAGCAAGGTAAGACTGCAGCATTCCAGCAGCCCTCTTCTAAGTGAGGTTTAAGATGTGTTTTAGTAGTTCCTCGACTCACGGATAGAGGTAAAAAAGCCAGAAGAAACTTGCTGATGCTGCCAGGCCTTTCAAAGCCCTGGTCCTTCCTAAGTTAGGCACGAAGCGATGCTCAACAGCCCCTCAGGCCCCGTGGCAGCCGTGTCACTGGTGAGCAGCACGGGACCCATAGAGTAGCTCTCAGGCCAGCAAGTTTTCCCTCCCCAGCAGCGTTTGCATTGGGCCATAACACATTGCCTGATAACACACGGCTCTCCAAAGTGCTTGGAAGACCTATCCAGTCTAGCAAGGAGAGAGGGCTAGAAAGCCACCTACACTGACAAAACATCTAGGAAATTGTAGGGCATTTCTCATTCTCCTCAAAGTCCTGAGATCATCTCCAGCCATGACAGCTACCAAAGCTAACGGACCCCAGCAGGGTACCATAAAGACAAACAAGAGCCCTGCAGCACCACTACTTCTGCTCAACTCCAAAGCAGCACTGAGTGCTGAGGTATTACAAACATAACAAAAAATGGAGGCAAAAAGGGAAAGAACGTTTCATCTGCTCTCATTCTTCAATCTCTTTCTGTAGGCAGAAGGACGGGACAGGTTGGGAACAGAGATGTGAAGAAAGGGCATTGCTCACCATTTCCTGAGATGCATACTTGGGGTCTTCAGGATCGACAGACCAGTAGCAGTAATCAAAGCTGAACGCCACTATCTTTTCTCTGGAGTCCCAAGTGCTGTCAGGCCTGCTGTCTGCCTGAAAATGGAAGGAGAGACAGAAATACCCATTTACTTTGAAGCTGATCAAAAAACAAGCATTTTAAAACTAGCAAAAGTTTATTCAGAATATAAACTGTGGAAAAGAAATGCAAAATAGTTCATATTTGTTATTATTTTTACTTTGATTTTCAAGGTGAGAGGGAAGCATCCATAATACTCCTGAAGGGTTTGTGAACTGCAGCTAAAGGCTCTCCAAGTACTGTAATTTCCTGAACCTTCACAACATTACGTTAGGCAGGAAAGCAATATCACCCTTCTATATTTCTTCCATAGTAATGGGTACAAATTGAAACACAGGCAGTTCCAACTCCATATGAGGAAGAACTTCTTTACTGTGTGGGTGACAGATCCCTGGAACAGGCTGCCCAGAGATGTTGTGGAGTCTCCTTCTATGGAGGTTTTCCAAACGCCCCTGGATGCCGCCCTGTGCCCCATGCTCTGGGTGTCCCTGCTGGAGCAGGGGGGTTGGACTGGATGATCTCTAGGGGTCCCTTCCAACCTCAACCATCCTGCAAAACTGAGAAATGACAGAGCGCTGCTCTAGGCAAGTGTTTCTCCAAGTGGGCTGAAATAGAACATTTTTGGGCTTATGGAAACATGGGGGGACACAGCAAAGGAATACCACCATTCAAGCAGTTTAGCCCTTCCACAGGTGACCAAAAATCACAGTTGAGTTCTTCCCCTCATCCCTGTGGGCTGGAAATAAAGCACCTTCTGACAGAAAGCAAAAGGGGGTTATATAGATCAGGAGAGGAAATGGATGAAGAGCTGAAGGTAGCTGGTATTTAATTGCCAGTTTTCCCCAAACAGCTGCACTTGCTTTGGATTTTTTCAATGAGGAATTAATAAGATGATTTCTTATAGCTAGAACCTAAAATTTAAATAATTTGAAAAAGTTATACATGAAAAGTATATTCACAGATAAGCCTTTTTGATAGAGCTATTTAATTATTTTCCCTAGAGACAGGCATACATTCCTTGAAACCTTTGGACTGATACTACCCATCCTTTTTTCCCCCCTCATTATCTGGGAGGGCTTTATTTATCATAAAATATCAATAAAGGATCAGAGTATTAACACCAACCTGTGTGATTTTAAGCTCTTTCGGGTTAGGACAACATCTTTTCAGCTAGCCTAGGCTACCACATATAATTCTGCTCAGAGCCACAAATGGCGACTGAAACATTAGGAGAATCACATAGATCTTCCTTTATAGTCCTGCTCAAGGAGTCTGCAATAAAATAGATAAGCCTGTGGATACACAGGAACTATATATTGCTGTTCATTTAATGAAAGGAAGAAAGCAAGGGGTCATAACATTACAAAGCAATGGGTCATAATACTACAAAAAAAGTGAAAGGATCTATATGTAACACTGATATAGTCCATAACTTTGTTAACAACATTGACACATTCAATATGTAAGGATAAAAAAAGATTCGCTATTAATCAGTACCCAGACAAGCTGCCCCAAACCAGGGCTGGCAGTGCCATTTGTCAGATTAGGGGATAAAAGGCACATGTGCTAACACTGCTATTAGCTACAAATTCTACTGGGAAAATGAATTTACACGCTCATTTAACAACCTTTTTCCAAATCAAGAAAAAGCAAAGTGAAAGAAAAGAGAAATAAATTACAGTTATCCTTGAAAGTAGTTTCAAATATTGAAAACATAATTCTAATTTTGTCACACTGAATTAACTACCCCCAAGATTTCCTTCAGCTACAGCTAACATCCTAATGAGCTTCTTGACTGTGTTTAATATGGAGCAGTTTTTTAGGTTGATACCTTTTTATGCAGTTACCTTTTACTTTTTTATATTTCTCCTGCCCATCAAGAAATGCAGTCACCTAATCATAGAGAAGCTGCACATTTATTAAAGTAAAATATTTTATCATTTTGCCTGATGCAAGTAGACATACAATACACATTCCTTACAAATTTGGAAATAGCTTCTGACTTACAGCTTCTTATTTTTGAAAGCACAATGAACCATTACCCCTAAATGAAACTATGGGAACATCAGGATAGAAATACTTGATCCAGTTTATATCAGTGTATAAGGAATCAGAGACCACATACATTTATCTTGTGCATAAAACAAACTCCCGCTTTACAAGACTTACCAGGAAAAACAACATCCAGCCCCTAAACAGCCCGAGGCCACTTCTTGCACCTCTAGGTCATCCCAGTTAGACAAGTGAACAGCAGCAGAGTCTTTCTCTCTACTCCCACCACCCCCCAAAGCAACCTCTTTAAAAGAGGATTTTCTTCTTTAAAAGCAGCACAGGTTTGATAAGGCTCAGCTGGACCCAATTACCAGCCACGGGGCTGGGGCCTCCACCTGCTCCCTGAGGCCCTCCCAGCTGGGGCCAATAGATGGAGAAACCCAGATCCGCACCTTTGTCTTGGTTCCCAAAGCTTTTCCTAAGAAAATAAAAATGAACAGACAACAATAGAGACAGACAGGAAAAGCTGGAAATCTTTATCATGCATATAAGGAAGTGGGGAAAAATAGGAGTGTTAGCAAATCTTAAACGCTGAAAATACAGCCCTACAAAATTTTTATTTCAATTTCTTTTTTTCTTGGAGAAAACGGCCAGGCTGTTCAGAGTGGTGCTGTGAGAGTCAGGTTTTCTGTCTGACATCTCGCTCGCTATTCCATAGCTTATTTACATCCCTGGATACCCCAGGACAGAAAAAGGTCTCCATGCCCAGAAGTAATCGCTTGCACCTGATCGTGATAAAGAAGTGATCATTACAACTTACTTGCAGACCCAGTTTCTGTGAAAATTTTGGCCTACTGATGGCAATTCCATTGGCACAAGTGCTATTATTCTGATTTTAAACTAGCAAACTCCACAAGAAGCAGTGCCTGAACACCAGTAACAATAAACAATAAAGAGAGGAACCACAGATCACAAACAATACTTTACATACATGAAAGAGATCCCCAAACTGATAGTTTCTCCCCAGCTTATGTCTTTAAGAGAGAATATCCAGTGTCAATGCAAAAAAAAATACATATATACACACTTTTATAATGGAAAAGGGTAAGAAGTCCAAATGAATTCATTCTATCACCACCTGAAATTCCTAGGTTGCTTGCAGATATAAAGAGAAATGAGGTAAGAAATTTAACACATTTGTCTTTACAGAATCTCCACCTACCACAATCTTGTTAAGTCCACAGTTCATTTATTTGCCTTTGAGGCAGAAAAATGTTAGACAATATAAAATTGCTCTATTCCTATTCTGTTAGCTCCTTGGAGCAGCATGGCAGCTGTAAGGAGCCCTAGAGTCTGAAACATGGGGCTGATTCCCACGTAGAGGGGCTGTATTAAGCTTTTTTTTTATAGCTCTCATTAAGCTTTTTCTTATAAATCTTGCCCATTTGCCATGGCCTGAGCTGTAGCTGAACCCACTTTGCTCCATTTCACACAAGTTAGTGGCACTCCGAGTGCAAATAGGAAAGGAGGAGAAGGAAAAACAGGGAGAAAAATATCCAGATGTTGGTTACAGTAAGATAAGTGCAAAATCCTAAACAATTTACTAACATACTTGAATGATGGCTTGCAGCCAGGGTGCAGCAGATTTGATAAATACAAAATGCAGAAAACAAGGATACCACAGCTGAATGCTGTTTTATATAGACATTCCCTGTCTATATAAAACCACTTTTGCTTCAATTCTAAAACTGTGACAATGTTTTCCCTGGATATTGGTCAAGCAAATACGGAAAACTGTGAAACAGAAACAGCACAAAAAGCATACCTTTATATTTCTGACTTTTGCCACTTTGTCGTCAACTTCTACAATCACTCCTCCTCCTTCTGCGCTCTCTCTAGAAACAAAACACATTCAAAAATCCTTTTGAATTATGAAGACACAGAAAAACATATTTCAAAGTCATAAATTCCCGAAATCTGCATTTATTTAAAAAATGCAAATTTAAACAAATTTAACAAATACTCTTGCTTACAAAATACTCTGTGACAGCTTCTTTATTCTGAATAGTTTTCATTAACAAAACTGTCCTGGAATGTAAGATAGTTCCATATGTGCAAAGGATTAATATATACTACCAGAATAAAATTCCTACTGAACACAGTAATCACTGAAATCTACCGCAGCCAGGTTCCATTTCCATAAATGAGCAGCATTGGAAAAATAAATGAAAAAATGTGATTAGAGCAAAAGATTATTTCTGGGCCTGCAGCTTGAAGATCAAAATGCTCTTATTCACAGGCCTACATGAAGATAAATACAGGAAAAGCATTCTTATTCACAGTCCAAGAGGTATTTTGTTTTGGAGAGTACTATGGAAAAAACAAGCAAACAAAAAAAAAAACAATTAAAATACAGTTTGGCAAAATCTCCCTCATTTAAAAGTTATTTTAAAGGTCACAATTTATAAATCAAGAAAGGACATTATGAATTTTCATATATAGCAAAACAGAAATGAGGAAGAAGAGGTCAATGACCTCCTTATCTGACAGCAGAAAGGCAAAGGATCTCTCTAATCCTGAGAAACTTCTACAGTTTATTTTGTACTTTGATAATGCAGAAGCCCTGAAAAACCTTATAAGCTGCAACTTTACTAGAAACCATGGTTCTAATGATGCCTAAAACCTTTGCAAAACTGGAAAAAACGATTTAGAAATAAAATGCACTTCCTCCTTGATACAGCTGTGTCATGATTTGTTTAAAGTTAACCGGAAGGGAAAGACAAGATGAGCTGAGTCTAGGTGTGCAGAGAGCACTTGTTAACCAGGTGGCTTGGTATCATCTTGCCAGTTATAAACTGTGAAGTTGAAACATGACTGGCAGGATTCACAGTCATTCACTATTTATCCATCATTTAATGACTGTCTTTTAGCAGATTTCCTGCCATTTAGGCAAAAATCTATACTCCCCCAGCTACACTCTCCTGTCAGTGACAGCTGACACTAGCAAATGACCTGTTTCAAAACCTCAAGTTTTCAGCCTTCAACAACTCGGAGGAAGTACAGAAACTTCTTGTCATCTAAAAATATATTTATTTTGCAACCCTAAAAGAGAGCTTTAAATCTCCTACATGTCACAAGAAGCCTGACCATCTGCATTGAAATGCCCTTGCCACGGAGAGCTTGCAGCGCCTCGGCCGCTGGGACACCCCGAGCGCGTCCCCAGGCACAAGAGGATGGCTCGGAGCAAACCAGACCTGCACCCGCTCCCCCGGGCCCCTGAGCACCAAGGGAGGCCCGGGGTACCTAAGGGGGAAACTTGCACCAGGCACATTTCATCCGCAAGGGCGCATTTCCTGGATTTGCACAAATAACGAGTTTGGGGACCTCCACGTCCCCATGGAAATCTCTGCCACGTGAGGTAATGGACAAAGCTGACACCTCTGTATTGGATCAGATCAAAGAGATTGAGCATTTTGACAGGCAATTTCACAAGAATTTATAAACAGTGAAAGATGGACAAATCTGGAGGGACCCTGGGTTCCCCTTTCAGGCAGGGGGTCTTGCTTCAGTGGCTCCTACTCTGTTGTCTGTCACTCCTGCCTTTCCTCCTCTCCAGCACAACCTCGGCTGCATCCTTCCTTTCAAGCTGCAGGGCTAATCTGTGCCGTATGCCACTTTTCTACTTATGCAGGGCTTGAACAAAAGCAGGTGGACACAGATGGGGTTATTAAAAAAAAAAAAATACATACCTGATTTCACATTTCAAATCAACAGGCAAGTTCAAAGAATAGGTCACTTCTAAATATTTAAAAGCATAATTTTCCCTTAACCTCACTTCTGAAGCAGCTGAGTGGTTCTGGATGAAGTTTAAACAAAATGAAACAGGGTTATCTAGCCTGAGGCAGGCCTTCATGCAAAGAAGCCTTTTACCCATATGGTTAAAATCTGGTAAAACTTTAGAATACCCTGGCCCGTGAAGCTACTTAATCCCAAATGTAAGACAACCTCAGTAACAACAGGTCAACCCAGCCCCATTATCATCATAATTAAATGAAACTCAAAAGCCCTCAGTCCACCAGTCCCTCCAGACCTACAAATGACTTCATGGAATGGATTTTAGCCACTTGATGTCCTCCCAGGTGAAAAGTATTACCGCAGATTCAAGACAAAAGAAGTTCCTGACATCAGACCTTCACTACGTTAAATTTAAGACACAAAAGCAGTATAAGGGAAGCAACACAAAGCCACCGTGCTGTCTCCTACCCCAGGGTAAGGGTGACTGCTCCCACCCCTGCACAAGCCCCTCTGCTCAGTGCAGCGCCTGGGAGGCTTTCCTCAAGCCTGGCTCCAGATCCACAGGACACTCAACGTACTTCAACCACAGGCTGTTGCTGCAAGGGGCGTTTTCTCTCCTCCTTCTCCTCCAGCACTGGATCTAGCACTGGGCACACGATGAAACCAAAACCCCCTGCTCTACAGACCATAGAACTTCCTGTAAATATGTGTTTATTTCATGCCTCATTCAGGTACAAATCAGAGAATTTTGGAAAAGGAAACTCATTTTTGACAACTAAAGCACAGGAGACAAAGCACATTCACAGCTGCTCTGGACATCCTGACCTTAAATCCAGGTGACAAGCACCACAGAAGGTCTTTCAGCATCATTTTTGTCAGGACATCCTTACAGATGTCCATACCACAATTTGCTGTAGACCAATAAAACAATCCTGATTCCTTAAGAATGGGTGGGTAACTCCACAGATAGGAAAGCTGTATTTACAAATAAAATCAACCCTAAAGTGCACCTCTCCTGTAACAGATTTGATCTCTTCTGCTCAGAGGTCTCGGTGACCTTAATATTTAGTTTCTCCCACCTCCCTTTTCTCCTCCTTTTCTAAACTTCACATTATGTTTGCAAAATGCCTCTCTCCTGCGAAATTAGTTGACGTGAGAAGTTACCTGTACAGTGTTGCAGAAAGACCATTTGATGCTACATGGTGCAGGAAAACACCTGGATCCTCCCAAGATAGCGAAAGTTTTGGGGGAGGCAACGGCAGGGACAGAAGAGTCGCTCGCTACAGCAGCGGGGCTGGCACAGGGGGTGACAGCAGAGAAGGGACAGGAGCCGAGCACCTGTGACAGTCCCACCAAAACACAGTGGGGACCAAAAGAAAATCTCCGCCAAACCAACCCTTGCTGTTGCTGCAACACATCCTTTCTGCCCTGTAGCCCCAGGACACCAAGCCCCTGCAAGACCAGGAGGAAAGGGCTGGCGGAAAGAACCAGGAGACCAAGACCCCGCAGAGGAGCATTTCCACATTTCCAGGTCTTGCTTCCTCTCCCTCAGATGAGTGCAGAGCACAGGAGCACACACAGGATACAACACTGCAGGAAGGAGGGCAGCTCTTTATTTCAGACTTCATAAAATTTGCCCCACTCGTCCTCCACCCTCTCAAATAACAGTCAGGCACTCTCAGAAAAAAAACAGCCTGACTTTTAAGAGCCTGTTTACTTTGAAAACAAGTACATGTAGTAAGACAAAAATAGTGGAGTCATTAGCAGTTGTTGTGTAATAATGAGAAACAGGTCCTACAAATACACACCACCAGATATCCATCAAAATAATCAAGCACACTAAAGCCAGTATTTACTGCTCAACTACATGAGAAAAATAAATACTGACAGAATTTAGTGGCTGTCTACCACAGAACTTTTCAAAATAGCCCTGCAATGTATTCACTGCACAATTATGTTTTCCATGTTTCCCCGTCAATTCCTGTCACCCAGTTATCTCAAAAAACAATCTCAACCTCTTTGGGGCAGATTTTCTGAGTTCTATTAGTCTTCAGAGAGCACTGCCCAAGACTGAATGGAAGCAGGACACATCCGTTTAAAAATCAAGAGGTGTAATGACAAGAACACCAAGGGACTATGCCGTCCTATCAGCAACAAAAACATTGTAGAAATTGCAATATTTTAATTTAATACTACCCAAACTTTGGCCATTTATTTTTAAGCTGTAATAGTTTTACTGCCTGTTTCAAAGAAGCCCAGTAAACATTCCTCCCACCAAATTCAGAACAGATGTTTATAAGTAATTTGAAAATCTATACTGAAGCCAAGTACACAAAGTTCACCAGGACAGCACACTGCTACACCAGACATATGGCTTAAGTCATTTTTTTCAAGGCTGCTCTCAGCTGTATAAAGCTTTCCTTGGCTCTGATAAAAGCTGACATAATTTGATAGTCAAAATCATTTTTCCATCATCCTGGCGAGGTCTCTCCCTATCCTTCTTTGCAGATACTATGCAGAAAAAAAAAAGAAAAAAGGAATATTTGGTGCAGAGATAAGCATCAACATTTGTCAGTACTATAAATAAAGCACTATAATCTAGTGCTACATTATAGCTAGATTGGAGGACTAACATTTTTAGACCAGTAAACAGGTATCAGGCTTTAAATCAGTGACCCAAGCATGAGAAGCGCCCTAGATCCAAGGGAGAAGTTCCTGACAGGAATATACCACCTTCCCAGGGCAGCCCCACAATCTCCAAGCCCTGACGTTGAAGGCCTGGTGCGGATCACTCTGCTTGCAAAGGAACCTGCGCTCTAGTTTTGCAAAATTACGTGCTAACAACGAGAGCATTTCTCAATAGCCTCTCTCACACAGCCAAAAATAACATTACACTTTCATTACCAAAGTCTGATTTTTTTTTTTTTTTTTTTTTTTAAACAGCCCAAGCATTGAATGTCTGGCAATAAACCATAAATGGATTTTACCAGTTCCCAGCTCCTATTTAATACTTGAAAATTATCTACCGCTGTAATCAATTTACACCACCCATTTAAGCTTCCCTACTTTGTTCTGAGGGGGAAAGTATTTAGGCAGAACA